TAAGTTCAAGTCTGTTTCTGTTTGTATTATTGGTGTGCCGTGGTTGTTTTCTTATTGGATATGTATAGGTGGTTGGTCTAGGTTTTGTTTTCTCTCAGATTTTATATTGGAAGGAACAGATGGCTTCAGTTCAGCTACTTAGGAGCTCCCACAGAGGCCTAAGTCAGGCTCCAGTCAGGTATACTCAGGCTGCACCCCTCCTAGCAGGCAGTCATAGCACAATTTGGGAAATTCGCTAAGGGGAAGCTTGATTTAGGCACTCTCAGGTGGTCTGCTAAGGTCTCAGCCCCTACTGTAGAGAGGGCAGGTCTAGCCCTGATGAAATTGGGGCGGGGGGGGGGGGACAGGTGGTTCTAACATAGGGGGTTGGGCACAGTGGGATTTGGGGAAGCTCACGTCACCTGGAAGCTGGATCCCGGCACTCTCAGGTGGTCTGGTAAGCTGAAGTGATCTTTATCTCTTCTGATTTATTGTAATCTGAAGTCTGTTTTGTCAGATATTAGAATCATAACATCTACTTATTTTTTAGTACCATTTCCTTGGAATATTTTTTTTCATCCTTTCACCCTAAGGTGATGCCTAAGGTGAAGATAAGATGAGTTTCTTGTCGACAATCAAAAGATGGATTTTGTTTTTTATGTCATTCAGCTAATGTGTGTCTTTTTACTGTGGCTTGGGCTTGCCTGGGACTTTGAAGGCTGTTCACGACATTTTGTCCTTCCTTCTGTTCTCTCTCTACCGTTTTTCCCTTGCTCCTTCTACTCTCCATTTAGAATTCTGATTTGATAAATTGTTTCCTTTGTACAGGGGAAGTGGAAGTCAACAAAAGGGATAATTTATGGCACTGCCTCTACCACATGTTCACTTACCCACCTGTAACTGAGCTCAAGTACTCAGTGCTCATCCACCCCATCTCCTCCTCCTGAGGACACCATGGTGGGCAGCAAATGGACAGTAACTAAATTGTGGTATCTGATAATGTTTGTTTAGGGGAATAGGAAGTACCATCAGTAGTGGGGGTACACCTTATCAAGATGTCAGCTGAGGGAGAATTGTTATACAAGAGGGGACAGGAGATGTAGATGGTAGGGGTTGGCTGGAGAGGCAGAGGCAGTAGTCAGAAGCTGAGGGCCTGATGCAGGATGGTGCTGGTGTGTTCAAATGAGGGGAGAACGGGAGACAAAGGCAGAGGTTAATGGAACTGCCACCTTCCTCTTCCTCCCCACCTCCCACTTGCCTCATTCCAGTTCTCCCCAGAATCTACTTTAGGCTTTTGTCACCACTACTCGAGAAAACAACCTCTGTCAAAGTTGCAGTGATGTCCATGGTGCTAGGCCCAGCTGTCAGCACCCTCTTGCTCCTCCTCGCTGAGGGTAGATCTCTAGTCCTCAGCTCAGTGCACTGTCTTCCTTTTTTAGTTTTGACTGTTGAATTCTCTGTTCCATCCTACGTAACTGTTCTTATCTTCTAGAAAAGCCTCATGAGGGGCTGGAGAGATGGCTCAGTGGTTAGGAGCACTGGTTGTTCTTACAGAGGACCTGGCTTCAGTTCCCAGCACCCATATGGCTGCTAACAGCCCTCTGTAGCTCCAGTTCCAGGGGATCCAGTGCCCTCTTCTGACCTTTGTGGGCATTGCAGGCAGGGATGCACTCACACACATATAGGCATTACACTCATAACCATAAAAATGGATTGAAAAATAAGAAAGCTTCCTGGCTTCATTTCCTTTGTTCTGTCACAGTGCAAGGGAAGCTTTGGCTGCCTGCTTTTCTCTTTCCAGCTCTTCTGGTAGCTATTTGAGCCAAACTTTTGTCTCCTTTACTCCAGAAAAGCACCTTTTGTCAAGGTTGCATTGACTTCCATGGTGTCAAACCCAGCTGTCAATTCTCGGGTCTGTCCTTGCTCAGCCTGTCGGCAGTGTCTGACACTGTTGACAGTTTCCTTCATGTGCTCCAGGAGATGGCCAGGGGCTTGGTGCCCCGCTCTTGGCAGGCTGCATCTCAGTGTGCCTGTGTGCGCCTGAACATCTGAGAGCTCTCCTTTGTGCTCGGACTTCTTTTCTCCTGCTGCTTTTGTTCCGCAGCATCAGGACGGTGTGTGGCATTTGCTAATGGTTCCTTTTTTTTTTTTTTTTTTTTTTTCTTGAGACAGGGTCTCCCTCCTGTAGCCCGAGCTGGCCTGGAACTTACTATGAAGAACTCATAGAGATCCGCCTCCTGGGATTAAAGACATGCAGCACCACAGCTGGCGGTTCTTTTTTGTTTGTTTGTTTTTCAGGGATTTCTTTACCTTTTTTTGAGGGGGGGGGTTGTTCTTTACTCTTTAACTCGAGCCTAGCCTTTCTCCCTAAGCAGTGCAGATTTTTATATCGAATTCTCATTCAGTCTTTCCATCTGATTTGTATACATTTCAAATTCAACAGTGCTCACTTATCCAAACCATTCCTTTTGTAGTCTCTCCTGACTCAGGAAATGGCAACTCAGTCTTCCTAATTTCTTTTTAAAAAATATTGTATCTATTACTTTTATGTGTATGAGTGTATTGCCTGCATGTATGTAAGTGTACCTGTGTTGTGCAATGCCCATGGAGGTCAGAAGAGGGTATCAGATCCCCTGAAACTGGATTTATGGATGGTTGTTAGTAACCAAGTTGGTACTGACAATTGAACCCAGGTCCTCAGCAAGAGCAGCCAGTACTCTTAACCACTAAGCCAACTCTCCAGCCCTGGGCTTTTCAGTTTCTTAGACTGAGAGCTTCGTGTTTATTTTCACCTGTCCTAGCAGGTGTGCTTTCAAAACACCCACAGCTCCATCACTTCTTGACATCTGCTGCACAGGTCTGAGTGGTCACCTCTGCATTATTTTGTGGTCAGTTCTTTCTTGGTCTCTGCTTCTGTCCTTGCCCCTATTTATTTTTGTCCTATCAACTAGGGTGAGTTTTTCTCTGTGTCTGATCATGTCACTCCTCTATTCAGAATCCTATAGTAGATTCCTGTCTTCCTCAGGATCAAAGCCAACTTGCTAATTACCACATGTAAGGATCAGCACATGGAACAAAGTCCTGTGTGCCCTGGACTCCCAGTAATTTTTACCATCAGCTCTTATTCTGCTCCTCTCTTGAATACACCCTAGGCATCCTGCTTGAGTCCTTGGCACTGCTGTTATCTCATGTGCTCCTAGTCTTGTCCCCTCCTGTCCCATCACTCTTCTTCATATGGCATCCTGGTGAGATGTGCACACACTCCTGCTGGTACTTCCTCTTCCTCTGTGCCCATACTGAACATCAGACATACTGCAATTTAATTACTTGTTATCTATTTACTTACATTTATTGCTATGTCCCTTACTGGAATGTGATGTTGCAAGGGTGACACCTTTCCTCGCTGGTGTCCTCAGTTGTAGAATGAGAGCTTGGATGCAGTGAGCTCCATACTAAACAATTGCTGGATGAACAAATTTCAGGAAGTTTCTGTTGTAAGTGCTAATTCCCTTTGCCATCTAACCTCTGACTTTAATGTGATATACTGTTTTACTGCCCAGTTACTACTTTCCCTGCTCTTGAATCCTTACTCCGACTTCTGTTACAGTGTAGACCACTATTCACATTTCTTCACCAGCACTTGGTTTTCTCTTTGACCTATTTCCTGTGCTCAGGAGGAGGTGGTGGCCTCACTAGTGTTCTCTTGTGGAGCCAGTGTTTCTTTGGTCCCCAGGATTGTCTTTTGGCCTCTCTTACATGTACTGTAATGTTGACATCTGGCTCATTGTGCTCTTCTCCATTCTCAGTTTTGTTTTCTAAGTAGAGTCATTACAGGGGTGGTTACCACTTGGTTCAAAATCTTTCTCATTACACAGCCACCACCTCATTTTCAGAGGTCCACACCGGCGTGCTCCCTAGAGTCCAGCATCACCTGGAATGCTTTTGTTTCAGAGTCTTCAAGTTTTCCCCACATGGTCCACAAGCTCTAGTGCAGTTTTGTTTTTAGCATTCTGTCTTTGACTATGGTGAGGTTGTGTATTTCTCGACCTATCGTGTTGTGGCCATCTGTTGTCCCAGCTCTGACAGAAATGAAGTGACATTAAAACACATGATCCATGGTCTAATTAAAAATGTGCTTGACATCAAAAAAATGTTGATTTCATAGACTTGGAGAGTAGAATAATAGTTACCAAGGACCAGGATTGAGGGCGTGGGTCACTGGATGCCAAATTTCAGTTCAGAAAAATAAAATTTTAGATCTATTGTGCAACACAGCAACATGGTGAAGAACAACATACTGCATTTGAAAATCACCAAGAGTAGTCAGTGAGCAATGTTTTCAGTGTCTGAGCAATGATGACGGTATGTAGATGAGCAGGGCCTCTGTTACTTTAGTACAGTTGGGCACCGCGCATGTGAGGAACAAGACCTCAAGCCAGTGCAGTAAAACTGTACAGTTTTTATTAAAATAAACTGATGAAATTTAAGACTTAAAATTCTTTGTTCAACTATGGTTTACTTTGATGTGTGGTGTATTTATTGAAGTTATTTTTATCCATATTGATTTTCAATACCTCTTTTACATTAAAACTCTGTATAATGGAACCTGCACCATTTACCTATCGGGTTGTGGTACCAGCATGGTTTTTGAGTGCTGCTGAAGCTCTTAGAAAGCTTTAGTGTTGGGAGGGACTGTGCTCTCTCATTGATTTTACTGTTCAGAATTGCTGGTAAGAGTCTGACTCTTTTTACTTCCACTTGATCTTGAAAAACATTTGATCAAGTTATGAAAAGAGAATCCTCAGTGGGTTTCCCCACCATAATAGTATTAAACTAGACTAATTGACTAGTTAATATAAATTGACATTTTTATCAAAATGTTGTATTAGTGAAATGTCCAAAGTTTTACTTTTCATAGTTTAGATCTTTTGTTTTCTTTAGATGCCAAAGACATATCTTTTGTTAGTTATAAAAATGACAGCCAGTAATGTCAATGACCTATTAATCTTGCTTTATTTCAGATATGCTTCCTCCTCTTTGCTGTTCTCTATGTTGTTTCCTACTTCATCATCACAAGATACAAGAGGAAATCAGGCAAGTGGAGACTTTTGGTTTCTGCTCTCACAGAGCTCAGTGTGCTGGGTGTGGTGTATGGGCTTGTCTACATTTCAGTATAGCAGTGCATCGAACATGCTAGGAGCAAAACAGACAGTTGCCTGGTACTAAGGACACTGAAAATAACCTCCAGGGTACCTGACTACTCCTAGGGTCACCCTCTTAGAACAGAGCCCTTATTTATCACAGTTCTTTTACCAAATTAAGAATAGTGCTGGCTGCTTAGTGTCTGGGAATTCCAGAGTTTATGAGGCATTTAGTTCCTTGTGGCTGGTTCTGACTGAATGTCCTGCTCACCGAGCCCCATCCGTTTTCTACTACTAGAATTGTCTTTTCTTTATCTAAAGCATGCAGAATTTAGAGTCTCTACAGTTGTACTGGATTCAATTGTACAACATCCTTATCTAGTCAGAGGGTCCATTCATTGGGTGATTAATTCACATTTTCAGGTCAGAGCTTTAATGCACTCTGGCAGTTGCCTTGTTACCTTTTGCTAAATCTCAGCTGTTTTCTTGAGACCACAGTATTTTCTGTGCTGATTGATGGTAGGTGCTGTGTGATACTTGAGGGTTCCATGGACTAAGGATTCTTTGATATGTTATCCGTTGACAACTTGCCAAATTGAGGGAACTAAGGAGATAGTTCTTGCTCCAGTGTGTTGCTTTAGTGCTGTCACTTGGCTCTGTGACTGTGAGGAAGGACTCTTTGGATCCTGCAGTCTGTGAAAAATTTAAAGATCTGCAGTAAAGACACTTGGGCACATGGTTTCATAGATATGTATACAGGAGGAAGGAGAGGGCATGAGTAAAAGATCATAAATGCACTGTTTAATGGCTTTCCTAAACAATGAGGGGATGCATAGGAAAACTGCCGACTTAGGTGATTTCCAGAGTAATCCAGGGGCTGCAGCAAGCAAGCAACACTGGAGTGTGTTGATGGTGTAGGCAGACATGGGTAGGGAAGTAGAACCTTTGCTGCAGAACTGCTGATAGATTGGATGTGGGTGGAGCAGTATGAAAATTAGCCATGAGGGGCCTGGAGACATGGTACGAGCACTAGCCGTTCTTGCAGAGGACCCTGGTTTGAATGGTGGCTAACAGTTGTTTGTAACTTCAGTTTCAGGGAATCAGACACCCTCTTCTGACCTCCTCAGGCATTTTAATCCAAGAGAAAAAACACTACCAAAAGTAGGGTTTGGGGCTGGAGATGGCTCAGCAGTTAAAAGCACTGGCTACTCCTGCAGAAGACCGAAGTTCAGTTCTCAGGACCCCATGGTGGCTAACAATTGCCTGTACCTCCAGTTCCAGGAGATCCAACATCCTTATCTGGCCTCTGTGGGCTTCACATGACATGGGTGCACTTACATACACACAGGCAAAACACTCATACACATAAAAATAAAAATAAATATTAAAAGAGAAAATGAACTATGAATCTAATTTTGTGGTGCCTTTGGCTATAAAGTTATTTTGGGCAGCCTGTAATTTAGGGTGGACAGAATGACCCAAACACTCCATTGACACTGAGGCAGATGAGCTCCCAGAAGTTCAGAGGCCCAAAGGGAGCTGTTAGGACATTAGACAGACAAGGATTGGGATGGACTGAGAGGGCTTTGCAAATTTATGTACTTATGCAATCTCCTTGGCTGGTAAGTTTGTGAGGAAGGAAAAGAGATGGCGGCTAAGAGGCCTGAGAGAAGGAGGGGTGGGGCAGGAAGGTGTGGAGTGAAGGCTGCCTGCAGCTTAGAAAAATACTCAGAACTCGACGCTTTTGTCTGTGACTTGGACAGTGCTTCAGTTATTGAGGTGACATTCTCTAAGGTAGTTGAGGTTGGTTCAAGAACATCCTGCACTTCCTTTGCTAATGAAAGTTCAAATTAAAGAAAAGCTGGCTAGTTAAAAAAGTATGAAGTTTTATAATTGAAGCCTGTGGACTGTCAACAACCAGACATTTCATTCATTAACACCTTTGCCTAGTGTTATCTAATAGTGTAGCTCATGATGGTCCTAAGTTCTAAGTTTTATTCTTGTGAGTACTAAGTGTTTAGGAAATTTTTAATTTATATGTGTCAGTTAGTTAGCATTTCTCAAACCACAATAATCAATTCTTTAATCATGTATCTTTCTACCTGTTAACAATGAGATTTAAATTAGGATTTTGCTGAAATAAACACAATGTACTTTGAAAGTTTTTTCCATGCAGTAACTGATTTTTTAACGTTTATGTTTTTGGTATATTTTAAATAAAGCAATGAAACATTTTCTTGGAAGATACAATACTATTAATACCTTAAATATTTTTACAGATGAACAAGAAGACGAGGATGCCGTAGTCAACAGGATATCGTATGTATTCTAAAACCCGGTTCTGCTATAGTTCTGAAGTCAGATCCTGAAGCAAACAGTTGCCTGAAGTACTAAACAGTATAAATCCTTAAAAAGCACATGGAAGCAAATACATGCAATTATTTGGAATTGGTAATCTCTTGCAAAAATACACTTATTTAAGTTGTGTGCAGTACAACGCCTGTAATCCTAGCACTGCTGAGATGGAGGCAGGATGATCAGGAATTCAGTGCTAGCCTCAGCTACATGAGACTATCTCCAAATGACAAAAGAGAGGGGGCAGGGAGACAGGTTTTTACCTTTAGAAAATTTAATGAAGAAATGGGCTTGAATTTGGTAAAACTAAGGAGGGCCTAGCTTGGCATGGTGGCACAGGCCTGTAGTCTCAGCACTCTAGTGGTGGAGCCAAGAAGGATGGAGTTCAAACCGGAGAGAAATATCCTGGGCTAGGTGGCAGGACCCTGTAACAAAGGCAAAGCAAGCCAATTGTCAGTCAGCCATTTGCATGTGTCCTGAGTAGACTTCTGAGACAGGAACAGCTAGACTTTCTGGTCAATGGCACTGTTGCCAGCTGAGAACACAGAGGGGCCTAGACTGTCTGGTCAGTTCCTGATGTATGCGGGAGATAGGTTAGAAAGACAACTTATTTTTTGAAGTATCAAACTGAATGGCAAACAGTAAACACTTTTCTGTTAGATTTTGTTGTATTAAAATATGAAATCAAAATCCCAGGTGTGCCTTTGTGAGAGGGCATCTGTGTTCCAGAATTTATTTTTAGTGCTGTACTTTACAGGATTTCAAATTAATGCCAGGTGTGGTGGCACATGCCTTTAGTCCTAGCACTCGGGAGGCAGAGGCAGGCGGATCTCTGTGAGTTTAAGGCCAGCCTGGTCTACATAGTGAATTCCAGACCAGATAGACCTATAGGAAGACTCTGTCTCAAAAAGACCAAAAAAAAAAAAAAAAAGATCTAAAATCAAAAGGAAGGTTAGAAAAAGGC